AGGTCAGCGGGGCGTGTAGGTCGTACTGCCTAAGAAACGAAAGCCGGCCGGCTGCTTGGGGTGTAAGAGGCGAGAGACGGGGGGCAGCTGCGTGCAGTTCGTCTAGGCGCTGCAGAACGAGTTCTATCTCTTTAGGGTGGGGGGGAGGAGAAGGGGGATGTTTTTTTTTGGTGGGGGGCGAGGCGGCGACTCACCGATCCCGATGCCGTGCACGAAGACGAGCGCCTCGGTGGGAGGCGTGCCGGCGGGGGCGGGGCGGTACCAGTACATCAGCTCCTCCTCCTTCCGCCGCTCGAAGGACGCGCGCCGCATGACGCACCTGCGCCATGAACAAGTCGGGGCGAGGACGCGCGGTGTCATGCAGAGCACAGCTGAGCACAGCTGAGCACAGCTGCACACGTGTCCTCTCTAGTGTCCTCTCTAGGAGGGTCTGTGTCCCGCATCTGTGGCGACGCACGGCGTGTACGCGGCCGCGCCAACCCCATGAGAGACGGCATAGTAGCTGAGCGGCCGGTGGCGCCACCGGACGGCGTCGGCGGCGGCGCAGTAGCGCCGGATGCCGGGCGACGTCGCGAAGGCGCGGCTCGGCGCTCCGTCCACGTCGCCGGGCATCCGGCGCAGGGCTCCGCTCGCCGCCTCGAGCTTGTCCACCATCTCCCGCAGCTCGCGGTCCTGCGAGGGAGTCGTGGAGGTCAAGCCCTCGGCTCCACCCCGGCTGAAACTCGGGCGGGAGGGAGAGAGAGAGAGGTAGCAGCGAACAGTCACAGCTCAGCGAAGCGGCTAGCGGGATAAGATCTCCTAGCGTCGCAGATGAGAGCGACGTGGGGAGGCGGGGCCTGCGCCGGCGTCAGGTCCGCACGACTCGCGCCGAAGAAGGTTGCGGCGAGCCAGTCGTACACGTCGCCGACGCAGAGATCCGAGTAGGCGACGCCGCCCGCAGACAGCTCTGCGGCCCGGCCCTTGCGGGCTTTGGAGAGGCCGACTCGCCTCGCCGCCCACTCGGCGAGCAACGCCGCAGGGGAGGTTGCACCCGACCCCTCGCGGTACATCCACTCGGCGACAAAGTCGTGCGGCGTCGTCGACGAGTCGGTGAGGATGCGGCGCCACAGCGCGGCCCGCCGCTCCTCGGGCCACGCACGCACGCCGGGCCTCGCAGCGCCAGGCGCGTGGCCGAGGGTCGAGGACGAGAGGTGGGCGGCAGCGATGCAGGCGAGATAAAATGCGGCCTCGCTCGCGACGGCGGCGCAGACGAGGGGAGCGCAGGGCGCGGCGTCGGAGAGCGACCAGGAGAGCGGCAGGCCCTCGGGGAGCAGCCCCGTGGACGCCAGCAGCAGGGAGGAGGCCACCACCGCTGCCAAGGAGAGCGGGCCGACTGCCTCGAGACAGAGCGTGACCGCGACAAGCAGGGCAGTGATGTCCTCCGACGCCGCGTCCACCGCAGCGTCGTCTGCCTCCTCGTGAGGCGCGCTCCACGGCAAGTGGGAGCGGCCAGAGGCGGCAGGCGGGGAGCCGGTCCAAGGCACCGCTTCTGCACTTAAACGCGGCGAGAATTGAACGCGGTCTAGCGGCCAATGAGCGAGCGAGCTCGCTGGGCGAAGGAGCAACGTCGGCGATGCCGAGAGCGAATACGGCGGGATCATAGCGGCGAGGCCGTCGGCGGAGGTCGGAGCACCGAGGGCCTCAACACGCAGACTTCCTCGGCCGAGGTTACGGCAAGGTATGTCTGCCCCGTTCTGGGGGGTACTCGAGGACTGCAAAATTTCAAGGAAACGACGCAAAAGGATTGTATGTGCTTATCACAGTAGCCCCGGGACGGGGGGGGGTCGGGCCTCACCCGGGGCTCACCGGGGCCTGGCCGTCCCCGCCCCCTCCCTCACCTGCCCCACCCCGGGGCCTCACTCGCGATGCGCCGTCCTGGGGGGGGTGCTCGCTGCCCGACCCAGCCAGGGGTACCACGGGCGGGCCACGCGCACGCGGCCCCGTACGCCTACCGCGCGCTCCCGGCCCGCGCCACGCCGCGGCACCACCCGCACACCGCCGAGGCGAGGGAGAGCGGCCTGTGCGGCGTACCACCGCTCACACAGAACAATACTACAAATAAACTAATAAACGGGTGAGACCCCACTCTACTCTGCACAGACAGTCCGCACTGCTCCAAACGCACAAAGTCTCTAACATCTACCGAGGCGGACGCAAAAAAGCGCGCCTCGGCGAGACGGATCGCATCACTTG